TGGAAACAACCCAGATGCCCATCCACTGAGGAATGGATAAAAAAGATGTGGTATTTTTATACAATGGAGTATTGCTCAGCTATTAAAAGACAATCTCGAGGCTTTTGTGGGTAAATGGATGTAACTAGAGACCATACTCATAAGTGAAATAAATTGGGCCCAGATTGGTAAACATCATATTGTCTCCTTGGAATAGGAACCTGACAGACTAAGTAAAACTCAAAACGTACAATAAATGATAAGGGAAAGAAATTCCTCAAAGGAAGGAACAACTGGGATGAGGGAAAGAAGAAAAAAGAAAGAAGGAATGAAAAATATAAATATATATATGAATAGCTGTGATAACTATTGCTGATGTCTGATGGTGTACTGAAATGAACAGTTAATGATTACAGGTTTTTATGTTCTGATCAATTGTGCATGCTTGTGTCTGGTGGTCTGAGCACCTGATCTGAAAGTAACAATATGCAATGGAATTACAGTGGTGAACTCCTACCATCTTGTCTAGGAATTGCAGTGGTGAACTCCTACCATCTTGTCTAGTGAAACTGTATTATCTCTACTGTTTTATCACAGAATTGTTTTCTTATTCTCTATAATGGTTTGAGCAATCTTTCATTCTTACATCTGGTAATCTGGGCAATGTAGTTGAGGATAGTGATATGTAATATAACAACCACTGTTGATTCGTATTATTTTGTCTTGAGACTCTGTATCGCTAAATATTCTTGCTTTGATTTGTTTATGTTTGTGATACTGGTATGCTGCTACTGTTCTATTTCTTTGTTTCTCATTTACTACTCTCTTTAAAATAAAAAAATAAAGAAAGATTAAGAAAAATAAATCAGTCTGAGGAGTCCTCAAAAAATTAGGATTAGGGGGCCCATTTAACCCAGCTATTCCCTGTCTGGATATTTTCCCAGAAGAATTAAAAGCATTCATACCACATCAATATATGTGTGCCCATGTTCAGAGTAGCACAATTGTCATGGCAAAATTTTGGAAACAACCCAAATGCCCATCAACTGAGGAGTGGATAAGAAAAATGTGGTATTTTTATACAGTGAAATATTACTCAGGTACAAAGAAACATAAACTTGAGGCTTTTATAGGTAAATGGATGCAACTAGAGACCATACTCATAAGCAAAATAAATCAGACTCACATATGTAAACACCGTATTGTTTCCCTACTGTAAGAACCTGAAAGAGTAAATAAAACTAAAAGGTACAAAAGATATTATGAAAGGAAAAGAAACTGCTCAATAGGAAAGAACAACTGGGATGAAGGAAAGAAGAAAAGAAAGAAGGGACAGATATATAAACACACACAAGATAGCTAAGATAATTGTACTACTAATTTCTATTGGTTTATTGAAAGGAACAGTTAATGTTTAATTGTTTGATCAATTTTGCATGCCTAATCTGGTAATCTGAGCAGCTACTTGGAAGATAACAATAAGTAACACAACAACCATTGTAGATTTCCCATCATCTTGTTTTGAAGTTCTGTATCTTTTTTATAGTTTTTGTGTTTTGTTTTTGTTATTTTGTTTTTGCTCTTTTCTCTTACAAAAAAAAAGTAGGTTGCCTCAGAAGTTCAGGATAAGCTGGGGCATCAGTGCTGGGCTGGGAATTCAAGAGGCCTAACATGAATGTAAACGTGAATTCCTAGGGAAGAGGAAAGAAAGTGATTCTAGACTTCATGCATTCCTTGAATAGTGTCAGTACTCCTACATCTTTAGAGACATTAATTCAGTATTTACCTGCAAGCACCACAATTTATTTGCCTGCGGGCCACCTTCTGCCTCTTGTGTTTATTTTGAGTGCCTGCTGGAAGGCCAGAAGCTTGACAGAATTAATGTGTTCTGGGAGAAGCTTTCAGCAGATGCCTCACAGGAGTCTATGTGTAGATGTCCCAGCTTCCTCACTCATTTGCTTGGAGCATTGGTGTCCATTATGATACTGGCATTACAAGCAGAGTGAAGGTGCAGTCACCCACAGCGAAGGTGCAGTCACCCACAGGTAAACAACATACCCTTCATTGGCTACTTTCCCTTCATTTTCTCACTTCTTCACTCCCTTGTTGGTGTTCTACTTCACTTCCTAAATAAACCTAGGCAATAGAATCTGTCCTGGGATATACTTCAAGGAAATTCTGAGAACTAAAATATCTCACCTCCTCTTTCAAAGAGAAAGTTTCAGGTACTGGGCATAAATGTTCTCCTATCTCCAGGGGAGAGGCCCGGATGAGTAAGGAATCAAAGTGAAGTCACTAGTTACGTGGCCCGGATTAATAACACATCTATACAGAGCACCACGTCTATATAGAGCACCAAGCAGGGTACTTGGAAGAGTGTTGGGAAAGGTGCTGCCAACCTTTGGTTTTTGTGCGTGATGCTCACTGGGACTCTTCTTGTATGCTTCTTCTTGAGATTGGGCAAAATTCTGCTGATTAGGATTCTGCTTTTTAAACTGTAGTCCTGTTCTAGCCTTGCCCTTATGAGATAGTACCAAATCATCCTGATATAACAAGTCTGCTCAAGCTCTTGAGTTACAGATTTTCAGGCAGTCCCTGGTTTATTTCCTGTAGCCAAGCCTTCTTCTGGGGTCGGCCACGTAATCTGCTGTTCCAGTCACACAATCCTGTGGGAGCTGCCCAGTCCATCAACAGGACTGAGGATCATCTATTCATCATCTTCTCCGAGCACAGCAGCTTGAAACATGAATGTGATGTCAGGAAGTGGAGATAAGAGTGGATTTCTTGGAACTTGCAGATAAATTAAGGGAGAAAGGCTAACTGCTCTAAGAGCAATTGAGATCAAAAGATCTGTTATGCTTTTGTGTTTGATGTGAACCAAAGTAAATTTTGTAATCATCTTTGATTCTGCCCTCCAACCTTGGACACGCTTGCTCACCCTCCTGCCAGCACCTTCATTCGGGGCCCTCCTCCACTCAGATCACGTGAATAGCCTTCAATCCTGTTTCAAGCCACAGTCTCTCCTTTCTCCACTCACATGCTGGACTATTCTTCCTAGAATGCAAGCCTAATCATGTCAGTCTCTTCCTATGCATTCCTGCTGCCCCTGGGAAACTGTTCAAATTGTTGGCATGACCTGTGAAGCTCTCGTTCTCAGGGCCCTATATCCCTCTCCCCCTCTCTCCACTCACCTCCTTGCATAGCACCCCGCTCACCTGTGTGTCTATGAATAGACTATGTCTTCCTCCCAAAGGAGTTCTCCATATTCTTCCCCTTCCTCTTCATCCTGCTGCTCCTCCTCTTCCTTCCCTCATACATCTCTTCCTCCTACATGACCTGTCTCCTGCTGTCTGTCATGGCTGAGTTGAGGCATCACTTACTCTGATAAGACTTCCCTGACCCTTCAACCTGGGTAGTGCACCTTGTATTTTATTTTACTATGTTGGCACTTATCAGCCCACTTTCTGTTTATCAACAAGAGAGTTTGGCCTGAGTATGTAGAGTTCATGGAGAGTATAGAGGCTGATGCCTTAAAAAAAGAGAAAGAAAGAAAGAGAAAGAAAGAAATAGAAAGAAAGAAAGAAAGAAAGAAAGCTGATGCTTAATGCTCCTAGAAATATCCCATACTGAAAGGGGTCTGGAGCTTCCAGTTGAGGAGGAAAGAGAGAAGCAGACTTTGGTGGGGTAGGAGGCTGTTCTCCAGGGGGTTTGGGTGGGACAAAGACCCAAGCTTTTTTCTGGGGCCAAGTGGACAGCGTGGAAAGAACCTGGGCTTGAGTTCTCTATTGGGGTGTCAGCCCAAAGGCACTGTTCAGCAGGGAGAGATGAGACACTAAAGTCTATACCAGGTACCTTAGAATGGAGAGTTAAGGGTATAGCTACAAGCAGTCAACAAATTACTATATCTCTTGCTCCAGACAGCACTGTGGTGGGAGAACTACACAGGAGTCTCTAAAAACCTGGCATACAGGAAAAGACAAGCAGTAAACCACTGCCAGAACCTGCCCAAGATCTCACAGCTACAAAGTGGGCGTAGGCCCTGAATCCAGAACACAGAGTCTTAAGGACAAGGTCGGGCATGTGGATGGCAAGGGAAGGGTGACAGAGAGACTTCATGATAGGAGTGAAGACAGATGAGCAAGATTTCCTGGAGAAGTAGGTGGGGGACTGGCTCCTACAAGTAGCATGGCTCATAATACCCGTTACAGGTACAACTTCCCACTACTACTGGCAGAAAACTCACTGTTCCCCCATGGGGGGCACACAGCTAACCTCATATCATCTGATTCTTCAGTCCATCAGAACTATTCTAAAGAGTTCCCTTGCAAAACAAATCTCCCCGCATTGCGTTCCTGGAGGCTGTCACAGAGTAGTAACTCAAACGTCTATTTCATTGCTTGCCTTGTTCACAGACCCAATAGGATGCCTTTGTCCACCCCAGTGTTGAAACTGAGCCAAGGTGACAGCCGAAGTGGAAACAAACAGAACCGAACCGCCCGACCCAGGCCTGCAGCGAGCCCCACCTAATTCCAGCTCGCCGCCCCGGTGCCTCTGCCCGCCTGCTTCCTTCACCCGAGGTTCAGCAGCAGCTCGGAGAGGAGTCGCTGGCGCCGGGTGCAGCTGACGCGGGGAACGCGGAGCGCGGGGAATGCGGGGAACTGGGTGCGCGGGGAATGCGGGGTACGGGGCGCGCGGACGCGAGCCGCGCTGCCCGCCCCCTCGCCCCCGCTGCGGACGCTGAGCTGCC